AGAGAGAGAGAGAGAGAGAGAGAGAGAGAGAGAGAGAGAGAGAGAGGCAGGCATGTAACATGCACGCGGTTCTGCCTCCCATACATACGTTTACAACGATTGATACGTGTGCATGTTTCTCCATACCCAACACTGCAAGATGACGGCAAGCCATATACGAAAAAAAAACAAAAATAAAACAGAGATGAAACGATGGCAGGGAGACTGGGCCGATTACAAAGTATCGTACGGGAGGGAGGAATGTCGACACATTAATGCACGATTGAAATGACAAGTAGAGAAACACCTAATGGAACGTCACAAGAGATGTGAAGATTGACATGAAATGACTGTTCCACAACGATGAAAAGCACGTTGGCTGACATTTCCAATAAACATGGGCGGGAGCCGTGACCCACAGCGGAACAATGCTAAATCATCTACTCTCTCTCTCTCTCTCTCTCTCTCTCTCTCTCTCTCTCTCTCTCTCTCTCTCTCTCTCTCTGATTTGTATCGTGGCACGGGTGCTCGAATAGTCGAAGGCACAAACGACAATGCCTTACGCAAAAACACGACTGCTTCATGTCGAGCACGAAAGAAAAGACCGAGGACATGACAACCAACGATGCAAGCTGCTACCACCGCAGACATGTAGAAATTGCGCCCACACACCCACGCTGGCAATGTTGTCGCCAATGGGGAGTACACGGCTATGCAGCATAGCCAAGTCCGCATGACGAAAGTGTCCTCCATCGCCTTCAACGTCGTGCTAGCCTCGAGCATTCCGTCGCACTCCCTCTCGCACAAATCGCCCAACGCCTCCACGTCCCGCTTCCAAGACCGCTATCTCGTCTAACAGCTGATTATTTTCGGCGGACAAAAACTCAACATCATGGAAAGCAGGTTCGTGATATTCCAACAGCCGCCTGTACTCTGATGCGACCCAATCGTACTCACAAACAAGGTCGTCACACCACCTGAGAGCATCCCTGTGTCGGCATCGTGTGCACTCTGCAATGGCATGTGCCCATTCCTTCACCGGGGCGCTGTCTTAGGACGGGTTCACAGGTAATCTCCTCCCCTCCTCCCATTTCGACAACAACACCATCTCCTCTTCGGATCAGGGTTTCAGTGAGAGTGCTGGCCTCCCTCTCCGACGCCAGGAGAAACCTCTCGAACCTTGAATACCTCTGCTGCAATACGCTGACTTCTACTGGCACGAATGGGACAATATCTTCGACAGCCATAGCAGCGGTGCCCTTGTGAGGTATAACAGGTGTGTGTGTGTGTGTGTGTGTGTGTGTGTGTGTGTGTGTGTGTGTGTGTGTGTGTGTGTGTG